TAATGGAAATCCAGTTAATCTGTTTCAGACACCTAAAAATATTAAAAAAAATGTTTTCTACACGAAATATACATTTACCTACACAGAAAAAATGATACATGAAGAATAAAACAATAACAACATCATACTTACCTTTATTAAAGACATGGTGATGTATGGAAGATGGAAGGAGGGGAGAGGATGGAGGAGTTTACAATTGTTTGGAAGGGGAATCCCCTTCCATAAAGACTTCAGGTACCAAGTCCTTATCCTAGGTTACTTCCCTTCCTTGTTTTTTAATGCCACTAGGACCAGCTTGAGTCACTGGTCCCCTGTTGCTCAAAAAAGTGTTCCAGAGAGGTCTGTTTCTGGCATATGTTATGAATTGTGTTGGGAGACAGGACAAGATAGCCCTTCAACATGGCACTAATATCAGCTCTACAGCTTATTTATCTAGTACAATTCATCTAATATGACATAATAAACAATATTAATAACATAGAAACATGATATATACTCTAGAGTGAATAAAATATGGCATTAAGAATGTCATGAGTGGTGGTGTGTTGTTTGTTGTTGGGTGTATAAGGGCCACTGAAAGATAAGCCTTACATAGCGGTGGTGAAGGCGGCAGAAGAGGCGGCGGTGTTAGTCAGTAGCCCTATATACCTCCAACAACAATGGAGGAGTCAGTTTCATGCTGTCCTTTTTCTATCGATTAATCGCTCAACTTACTTGCTACACTTTATCGCTGGCTGGTGCTATAGCCTTTATAGACACCTGCTGCTTTAGTATTGTACATATTGCAGAATCACTGAAAAAGGCACATTCGCCTCTTTCTGACTGGCACTAGAAGCTTTCTTTGGGCCCATGGTGGCTTATTTAGCAGTTACAGGCACTAAAAAGAATGGAATACAAAATATATCGTATGAATGCGTGGGATCGTCCTCACTGGTTGGTAAACAATGGCACACTAGGCCGCTCAGGCCCCGACACGAATGACTTATATTGAGTTCAGTGACGTTCACCCAGCCAATATTTTGATGCAAAAAGTTACTTATTCCGATGACGTCTTAATCTGAGGGTCCACTGTATAATGATAGTAATAGTATAATATTATATAACATTTTATGGTGCCGTGAGCTCATGCCTCCACACACTATGGTGAACCACGAGTTACTGAGAGACACTGCTTGTGCCATCTCCTTCTCTTGTATAGCCCTGCCCACCTTTCAATACCTCTCTACATATGTCAGGTTTTATTAACTTGAGCGTCTTTATTATGCTTCTAAGTTACTTATGTTATACTTAATATTATTCTGGAATAAATATGATAGGTAGATAACCTTTATTGACAGTAATAGTATAATTATACAATATTATATAGTACTGTGAGTTACATATCCACAAGCCATGGCGAGCCATGAATTACTGAGAGACCTTCACATGCCTTCAACGTCTCAAAGATACTGCGTGCCTTGGCTTGAATAATTAGAAGGCTCATCAGCATTTTTTTTTTTTTGTATCTGATTATCAAACTAGATTGCCAGTAATTTCTCTATTTAATGAATGAGGCCTTTCCGTTGTCTAGTTATTATGGCTTGAAATCCTGTCGATGCTTTCACTGCCTCTTTCACTCTATCATAATCCTTCAAGACAGTGGAAATGGTAGAAAACGCCAGCTTCAAGTCATCGGCTATCACTTGCACTTTCTTACCAGCTTCATACTCATTTATAATCTTCATTTTCACCTCAAGATTGAAAGCCTTGATTTGTTTCTTGGTGCTTCCTTCAGGAGAGGTCAAGATCTTCTTTTTTGCCAACATCTTGTACTATGGGATGCATAATAAAGTGCAAATTGGTACAAATATGTAGTCTTGGAAACAGTGAAAGCTAATGTATTGAGTGGCTGTAGGAAGGCGACAGATGCTTGATGTTGAGGCGCAGCGCTGCCTGTTTCCGTGACCCAAGTTCTCGTAAGGCATAAAATACTCGTGGGAGAGCCTGAATGATTAAACTCAGTGAACAAGGTATGATGATGGCATTAATAATAATAATAATAATAATAATAATAATAATAATAATAATAATAATAATCTTAAAAATAATAATCACTCTGGAGTGGTTTAAATGTCATACATTTTCGTACAGGTTTGATAGCTGACATTTAAACCACTCCAGAGCAATTGTTATTAATTATTATTACCATCGACATACCTTGTTCAGTGAGTTTAATCATTTCTTAATTAAGCTGCCACGAGACACAGAATGTAAACACACACACACAAAAACACACCAGCTAACCCCTTTACTGTGAACTTCTTTTATATTTCTTCCAATTTCCTCTTGTTTTTTCTCTTCCAAGTGTTGCTGCACTTCTAACTATTGTGCATCCCACAGTACAAGATAGAGTTAGAAGTGCAGCAGCACTTGGAAGAGGAAAAACATGAGGAAATTGGAAGAAATATAAAGAAGTTCACAGTAAAGGGGTTAGCTGGTGTGTTTTTGTGTGTGTGTGTTTACATTCTCAGTGTCTTGTGGCAGCTTAATTAAGAAATGATTAAACTCAGTGAACAAGGTATGTCGATGATGATGATGATGACGATGACGATGACGATGACGATGACGATGATGATGATGATGATGATGATGATGATGATGATGATGATAGTCACTCTGGAGTGCTTTAAATGTCAGCTACCACACCTATACGAAATACGTATGACATTTAACCCTTTCAGGGTCCAAGGCCCAAATCTGGAGTCACGCACCAGTGTCCAAGAATTTAAAAAAAAAAAAATTGTTATTTTTTCTTATGAAATCGTAGAGAATCTTTTTGTGAAGGTAATAAAACAAAAAGTACTAAATTTGGTGGAAAATTGACGAAATTATGCTCTCGCGAATTTTGATGTGTCAGCGATATTTACGAATCGGCGATTTTGCCGACTTTGACTCCCATTTTAGGCCAATTACATTATTCCAATCAACCAAATTCTTAGCTATTTCACTAGTATTACTTCTATTCTATCGATTGAGCACAAGAAATCGCCAAGTCAACTGTTTCAACTACAAAATAAAGTGATCGGAAATTGTTAATTTGGCCAATTTAACACAAAGTTCAAAATATTCCAATTTCAAAATAGGGTCCAGAATGAACAATGTAGGCATTCCTGGCACTAAACTAACATTTCCTCTGTTCATTAGTTATGTTTTGAGGCTTTACAAATAAATTCCATTTTGATTTTTTATTCACATAATGAATTTTTTATTCACACCAAAAAATAGAAGATTTACTGTTATGCAATACTGTAATAATTGTATAAATATCATCACCATATTTGTGAATGTATATTAGACCCACCAGCTGACGTGTATTAGACGTGTGAGGTCGTTTGTTTAACTCTTGAATATCGGCAAAAATTTAACATTTCTGCTACTTTGAGCTCAGTTTCAGCCATTTCCAGTGCTAAAAACCAATCAAAATCATTTCTATTTCTGTAATATGTCTTCCATTCTATCAAATGGACCAAGAAATCGCAAATACAACTATAAAAAACATACGAAAAAACACTGCAAAGTTGCTGTTTTAATCGAAAAATCATGATTTCATTTTTTCTCTCTCATTATACACAGTGTGCTGCAGGATCTGTTTTATGTGGTGCACACATACCACATAGATGTATTCTCTCATATCTAGGCCCAAATGTACCACTCACAGTTTATCAGAGTGAGCTGAGCTCATGGCGTAGATCTACGGTTTGGACCCTGAACGTAAAGCCGTAGATCTACGGGACGGACCCTGAAAGGGTTAATGCACTCCAGAGGGATTATTAATTATATTTTATTATTATCATCAACACACCTTGTTCACTGAGTTTAATCTTATCTTAATTAAGTTGGCATGAAAGAGACAGAGAATGTAAACACACACATATGAACACACCAGCTAACCCTTTAACTATGAACTTTTGTACTTCTTCCATTTTCCTCTCTTCCCTTTTCCAAGTGCTGTTGCACTTACATCTTGTACTATGGGGTGCACAATCAAGTGCAAATTTATAGACAAAATATGCAGTCTTGGAGATTGCTTGATACTGAGACCCATCACTAACCCCTTTACAATGAACTTCTACTGTACTTCTTCCATTTTCCTCTTCCAAGTGCTGCTGCACATTTTATCTTGTACGATGGGGTGCACAATAAAGTACAAATTTGTATAAATATGTAATCTTGGAGACTTTAAAATTGTATGTACTGAGTGGCTGTAAGAAGGAGATTGAGATGCTTGATGTTGACACACTGCACTGCCTGTTTCCGTGGCCCAAGTTCTCATACAGTATACAATACTGATTCGTTGGAGAGCCCATCGTAACTCCAATTTGTCAGTAAACAAGTACGTGGTAAGTGAGAAGAGGCTGTATATTCTGTTTCTGATATCAGATTTATACTTATCATTATCAACTTGCTACTGTCATGGCCATTTCACTCTCGCATTACATAAATCATAATTACAGAGGAAGTAAATATTCAAAATCTGCTTTTCACATTCTGCAAACCATATCCATAATTCATTCCATGGCATCTCCATCATCAGCGGGTTTAGACAAAACGAGAAAATATCCCCACCACTAATGCTGGGTTCTTAGTCAGGCAAACACTCAGTGGAGAGACTGGTACCCCTCCCAGAGAAGAGGCCCTGACTTCTAGGCACAAACTCCACCACCGTGTTAAGGAAACCCAGCATCGAGGGAAGGTATGTGGTAACAAGGAACAATAAGTACTGTATCAAACATCTACAGCACAAATACTGCATTGCCTGTGATGAAGTGGGAGGACATAGAACTACCTTCTCTACCCTTCCATAAAAGGCTAAATGCCTCTACTTGCAGTACAATAAAGTGGGAAATGCAGCAATAATGATAATAAAAATATAAATATGCAATGTGGCTTATGCGTTTGGAGAGGTATGTGAAAATGGTCCAACTTAAGATTTAAAAATAAAAATGAATGAATTCACTTACCTTTAGATACAGGAGACATCGGTCGATTATTTGCAGAGTCAGCTCCCACAGCATTCCCTAATGCAGCTTTTGAGCTGTTCTCACTGTTCCCAAAGTTAAGGTTTAGTCCCAACAAGTCAGCTGAACTTGTTTTGCTGCTGTTGAAAAATATGTACAATTTCCTCAAAACTTTATAGATTTTTTTATGGGATGATGTGTATAATAAATAGAGATTGCATGTAATGTGAAATTCATTTAATTTTATATTTATATTGATTCAAATTCTTATATGAGAAAATATATATTAGTCTGGCTCTGCACAATTTAAAGAATCATCAGTGATTTTGATAAAATGTGCAAGCTAAGCATAAGAATCCAATCACCTTTATACTCACACCTACATAACTCAATCATTGGAATTCAACCCATCCCCACTGAAATTTACAATTATTTACTGTGAGGTCAGTCAAATATGGAAACTGTTAATACAATGTGGATTTATGACATCATGTTTGGTTCCAATGCAAAAAGAAGAAAAACTTTATAAGGTTTTCTTTTTTTGAGTCGTCCTGCCTTAACCCTTAAACGATCCAAACGTATATATACGTTCACTCGCGTAGCGCCCCAAAATTTTTTTGGAAAAAAGAAATCTTTTCTTTTAAAAGGAAAAAAGAGCATATGGTACCCAGGCATCCCCAATTATTTTAATATGGAACACAGTGAGTGCACACACCCATTCTCTCATGTCTAGGTGACTCAGGCTTATTGTGGCAATGCTGAATGAATAACAAAGAAAACGTATATATACGTTTGGGGCGCTACGCGCGTGAATGTATATATACGTTTGGACCGTTTAAGGGTTAATGGGAGATGACCAGTATGTTGAAAGAAATGTTTGGCTCCTAGGCTGCTAAACTGTGCAATCTTATCATTTAAATTTCTGTTAGCCCCTTGCGAGTTCACTCACTTATGTAAGATATGCCCTGCATATGGCCAAAGTGGTACAGAATTCTCTAAACATGCATATGCACACACATGCATATCAACATATATGAACCCCATCCTAAGAGCATGCACCACCAGCCTGGAACCAACATCTCATAAAGCATAAGACACTGGAGAGAGTGCATAAGCTTGCAATAAAACTTGACCCAGACATAAGGGCAATGAACTGAGTTTAGACTAAAATAATTATATCTGATGACAGAGAATGCATGGAGACATGATAACAATTTGTAAAGTATTCAGAGAACTTTATAGAGGGAGAGAGGGATAGACAGCTTGAGAGGTAGGTACACAAAGAATGGTTAGAAGGTAGAGACAAATGAGCCACAGAGATGTCAGGAAGTATTTTCTTAGCCTCAGGATGGTCAAGAATGAAGGTAGACAATATATACTTGTACACACTGTAGCTTTTACCCCTTGAAAGTCCAGACCCCCAATCTAAAAATTCCCCACAGGGTCCAAGAATTTTCATTTTTTTTTTTTCTAATGAAATGGTAGAGAATCTTTTTTTGAAGGGAATAAAACAAAATGTATGAAATTTGATAACAAATTTACAAAATTACACTTTCATGAATTTTGCTGTGACGGTGATATATATGCATTGGCAATTTTGCCCACTTTGAGTCCTATTTTCGGCCAGTTACAGTGTTCCATTAGACCAAATTCTTAGCTCTTTTACTAGTGTGGGTTCCATTTTATTGAATGAGCACAAGAAATTGCTCAATCAACTATTTCAACTACCCAATAGTGATCGGAAAGTGGTAATTTGGCCAATTTTACACAAATTAAAAAAATATTCCAATTTCAAAATAGGGTCCAGAATAAACAATGCAGGCATTCCTGGCACTAAAATAACATTTCCTCTGTTTATTAGTTATGTTTTGAGGCTTTACAGATGAATTCCATTTTTATTTTTTATTCACAAAGAATTTTGATTCACACCAAAAAATAGAAGATTTACTGTTATGAAATATTGTAATAATTGTATAAATAATATCAGTGCATTCATGAATGCACATCAGACCCACCTGCTGTCGTGTATTAAAGATTGATGTGATTTGTTTACTCTTGAATATTGGCAACAGTCGAACATTTCCGCTATTTTGAGCTCAATTTCAAGCTATTTTCAGCACTAAAACCAATCAAAGTTATCTCTATTTCTGTAATATATTTTCCATTCTGTCAAATGAGACCAAGAAACTGCAAGTACAACTGTAAAAACCATACAAAAATATACTGCAAAATCGCTGCTTTAATCCAAAAATACGATTGCAGCTTTTTTCTCATTAACCCTTTCAGGGTCCGTCCCGTAGATCTACGCTGGTCGGGG